GGTTCGTAGCGCGCTCACCGCTGCGCCACCGCTCCCCCGAACAGGAAGAGCTGAGGGCCAACCCCACGTGGTTCGCACGCGCGCGCGCACACACACACACACACACGGTGACGTCACCCAAAGAAACACATCCGCGCACGTGACCACCGATCGCAGCGCTCCTATTGGGCGAGGGCGGGTCATGCGATGACGTCGACGCGCAAATCTCGCCCCTCCCTCCCCCACCGCGTGCGCGTGACGGCCCCGATCCCCCCCCACCCACCACCCCCCCTCTCTCGTCCCGCCCCTCCCACTCGCCCCACCCCCCACCCATCGCTTCGGCCCCGCCCCCCTCCTGCAATCGCCCAATGTTAAATCCCCTGCACGAAGACGCGACGCGTGGAAGGTCAATCGCAATTAGCGCCGTTATCTTAATAATTAAACCCTTAGGCTGTGACCTCCCCCCCACAACAACCACCACCAACACCATCGTCATCACCGCCCCCCCCCCCCCACTGAAGCCGGATTAAATTCGCGTGCCCCCCCTCCCAGACCGCCTCCTCCTCGCCCCCCACCACCACCACCAACAAAGCGCGGTAAGCAACTTGCATCGGGCATCAAGCGCTGTGCTGCTGAACCCGGTTTGACCCCAGTGCCGAGTTAAGGCCCCCCCCCTACTCTCTCTCTCTACCCTTCCACCCCCGCTCGCTCGCTCGCTCACGGCTAACGTCAGTGGCGAGTTGACGTCCGAACTGGTCCTGCGAACGATCGCCTCCATCCTCCTTCCTTCTTTGCCTCCTCCTTCCACTCTCTCAATCATCGCGAAGTGTTCAATCGGATTAACGCTTGTGACCATTACGCAAGCGGCTGGCGTGTTGTTGGCGGTGGTGGTGGTTGTTGTTGTTGGCGGTGGTGGTGGTGGTTGTTGTTGTTGGCGGTGGTGGTGGTGGTTGTTGTTGGCGGTGGTGGTGGTTGTTGTTGGTGGTGGTTGTTGGTGGTGGTTGTTGGTGGTGGTGGTGGTGGTTGTTGTTGTTGGCGGTGGTGGTTGTTGTTGTTGGCGGTGGTGTTGGTGGTTGTTGTTGTTGGCGGTGGTGGTGGTTGTTGTTGGCGGTGGTGGTGGTGGTTGTTGTTGTTGGCGGTGGTGGTTGTTGTTGGCGGTGGTGGTGGTTGTTGTTGGCGGTGGTGGTGGTTGTTGTTGTTGGCGGTGGTGGTTGTTGTTGTTGGCGGTGGTGGTGGTTGTTGGTGGTGGTGGTGGTTGTTGTTGTTGGTGGTGGTGGTTGTTGTTGTTGGCGGTGGTGGTGGTTGTTGTTGGCGGTGGTGGTGGTGGTTGTTGTTGTTGGTGGTGGTGGTTGTTGACCACCACGGGCGCCAATCCTCTGGTGAAGCCGAAGACCTCTGAGTTGGAGTGATGTCTCGAGACCCGGCCCCCCCCTACGGCATCCCCTCTGACTTCCCCGGCGAGCGTGATGGTGAAGTATGGCGAACCAAACCACCACACACACAATCACACAATCACGCAGCGGATTGACAAAGAACGCTTACACAAAGACTCTAGGAGAAATATCTTTAAATACATTCCCTTCATTGGGCCTCGTTACGTATACAGTATACAGGACTGTACTAATACATTGTTAACATTTCGTAAATTAAGGAGGGACCCTTAACTTCATCTGAAAATATATCAACGTTTACTTGATACAACAATTTATCAATCCGTTGCTGGCCTTGGGGCCGTCCATAAATGACGTCACGCGATTTTGGACCCCCCCCCTCATCACACAAAGTCAGACTCCCCCTCAAATATGACGAGTTAAATAGAGATTTGTGATCACGGGCCACTGAGGCAAACTCCATCTCCTCAGCAACCTGTGACCACCACCCATCCTTGCAGCGCCTCACAGCTCTCAGAACCTCCGAGCGAAGGCTGCGGTAAGCCTCCTCATTCTCTGACGTGGGATTCTGTAGCCGATGACAACCATCCTGAACACCTCCTCTGTCAGCCAGGATCTCTGAGAAGGTCTGGACCGCGTACCCAAAGCAGCCATTGCAGCTGTATGAGTCACAGTCCTAAACCTCGCCCATTTACCCTCGACATCAGGAGGAGTCGGGGATGATGCCAATCCCAGCCGCAAGCGATGATGAAATTCTCGCTTGCAACTTTCATCAGATAACTGAGACCAGGCCACTTTAGGTTGGAATGGGGTCCTGGGTGTACACCCACCACCGGAGTGGAAGAATGGCAGGCACATCTTACAGATGACTAGTCGATGGTCAGAGGGCAGATCAGCTCCACGGTAGGTCCTGGTGTCAAGGACATGGGCTCGCATCCGCTGGTCCGTCACTATGTAGTCCAGCAGATGTTCTTGCTTGGACCCGGCATGCATCCATGATGTTGTGTGGATGCGCCGATGCCGGAACAGCGTGTTGGTAATTACAAGCCCATGGGCTGCACAAAAATCTAGCAGCCTCCTACCGTTGTTATTGAGCTGATCTGACCCATGCCCTCCAATCACTCCAGACCAGGTGCCAGTATCATGACCAACTCAGGCATTGAAGTCACCCAACATGATGACTCTATCCCAAGGGGCCACTTTAGCCAGCACCTGTGACAGGAGGTCATAGAAGGCATCTGACTCATCGGCTTTGCCTGCATCCCTCCACGGATGTTCATCTTCGGTGGGGGCATAAGTAACCACGACCACCATTCCTCGCCTCCGGTTGATGGGAAGGCGAGCCCAAAGTAGCCTGGGACTTACAGCTTCCCACACCTCACCGCCACGCTCCCACGCCCCCTTCATTCTTTTGTTCAAAAGAAGAGCCACACCCTGTTGTTTGGCAGTCTGCTGCCCCGAGTAGAGGACTATCCACCCCTCATGGTGGCAGGAGCCAGAGCTGGTCCACCGGACCTCCTGAATGCCACACAGATCCAGGCGGTACCGGTCCAGCTCCCGACAGAGGAGTGGCAGCCTCTCCTCCGCAGTGAGCGTTCGAACATTCCACGTGGCCACCCGTAGTGGCTTTTTGTTGTTTCTGGAGGAGCCCCGAGGGTAGATATTCAATCTCCTGGCTCCGCCAATTGGGGTTAGGCCAGGAGACGTCATAGACGCCTGGCCCCCCGGGGCCTCCGGCACAAGCTTATTAGTTACATATTTCAGTTTAACTCGTGGTTTAGTGGTAATTAATTGAAGGTGGAGGGGTTACCAGCTCCTCGCACCCATCCAGAGCCCCCGTTTAGCCCCTGTGGTGGACACATATGCCATGAGGGGAGGAGCCAATCAAAATTGGACCTCCCCCCACAGCACTGTCCACGACAGAGTTGCCCGTCCGGCACCGCGAGGAGGTAGGGGGTTGTTTTGCCGGACCAGCTACACAGACAGCCACACAGACAGCTACACAGACAGCCACACAGACAGCCACACAGACAGCTACAGAGACAGCCACACAGACAGCCACAGAGACAGCTACAGAGACAGCCACACAGACAGCCACACAGACAGCTACAGAGACAGCTACAGAGACAGCCACAGAGACAGCTACAGAGACAGCCACACAGACAGCCACACAGACAGCCACACAGACAGCCACACAGACAGCCACACAGACAGCTACACAGACAGCTACACAGACAGCCACACAGACAGCTACAGAGACACCCACACAGACAGCTACAGAGACAGCCAGAGAGACAGCTACAGAGACAGCTACAGAGACAGCCACACAGACAGCTGCAGAGATAGCCACAGAGATTGCTACACAGACAGCTGCAGAGACAGCTACAGAGACAGCCACACAGACAGCTACAGAGACGACCACACAGCCACACAGACAGCTACAGAGACAACCACACAAACAGCCACACAGACAGCTACACAGACAGCTACACAGACAGCTACAGAGACAGCTACACAGACAGGTACAGAGACAGCCATACAAACAGCCACACAGACAGCTACACAGACAGCTACAGAGACAGCTACACAGACAGCCACACAGACAGCCACACAGACAGCTACCGAGACAGCTACACAGACAGCTACACAGACAGCCACACAGACAGCTACAGAGACAGCCACACAGACAGCTACACAGACAGCCACACAGACAGCTACACAGACAGCCCCACAGCTACAGAGACACCCACACAGACAGCTACAGAGACAGCTACAGAGACAGCTACAGAGAAAGCCACACAGACAGCTGCAGAGACAGCCACAGAGACAGCTACACAGACAGCTACACAGACAGCTACACAGACAGCTACACAGACAGCTACACAGACAGCTACAGAGACAGCTACAGAGAAAGCCACACAGACAGCTGCAGATACAGCCACAGAGACAGCTACACAGACAGCTACACAGACAGCTACACAGACAGCTACACAGACAGTTACACAGACAGCTACACAGACAGCTACAGAGACAGCTACAGAGACAGCTACAGAGAAAGCCACACAGACAGCTGCAGAGACAGCCACAGAGACAGCTACACAGACAGCTACACAGACAGCTACACAGACAGCTACACAGACAGCTACAGAGACAGCTACAGAGACAGCTACAGAGAGTGTCACACAGACACCTACAGAGACGGCCACACAGCCACACAGACAGCTACAGAGACAGCCACACAGACAGCTACACAGGCAGCCACACAGACAGCCACACAGACAGCTACAGAGACAGCTACACAGACAGCTACACAGACAGCCACACAGACAGCTACAGAGACGGCCACACAGCCACACAGACAGCTACAGAGACAGCCACACAGACAGCTACAGAGACAGCCACACAGACAGCTACAGAGACAGCCACACAGACAGCTACAGAGACACCCGCACAGACAGCTACAGAGACAGCCACAGAGACAGCCGCGCAGACAGCTGCAGAGACAGCCACACAGACAGCTACACAGACAGCCACACAGACAGCCACAGAGACAGCTACAGAGACAGCTACAGAGACAGCCACACAGACAGCCACACAGACAGCTACAGTGACAGCCACACAGACAGCTACAGAGACAGCCACAAAGACAGCCACACAGACAGCTACAGAGACAGCCACACAGACAGTCTGTCCAGTGGTTCAACTGGGTCATCGAGCTGGTGACCTCTGGGTTGCAATTCCAGTGTGCTGACCATAATACCGCAGCAGCAATCATTTGCCAAGCAAGTTATCTCGCGAGACACGTATGGAATCGTGGTGCGTAAGAACAGTTGATTAATTCGCAGCTGATGCAAATAATGTTCAAGTGGCGCAACATGTTACATTGAGCCTAATGGAGCGAACGAATGTATTCCAGTGAGACGTAGGGTAACGAGGAACTACGCAGACGAGGCGGTAAACAACACGTGACAAAAAAAGTAATCGATTCTTGACTTGGATCGCATCCCACGGGACCTCGACGTGTCATCGAATTTTGCCTGGGCGGAGGGAGCTGTGAACTTGATGCATGGTCCACAAGATAAGAACCGTGTATTTGTCGAGTAAGGTGGGGGGGTGGGGTGGATGAACGAGTGGCTGGAGTGGTGGCGTGGTGGCGTAGCGCTGAGCACACTGCACCCTGAACCCGGATACCCAGGATTCACGACTCGCCCGTGGCCATGGCTGACAGCGCTGGTGAGTGATAATTGAACCGTCGTGAGCACCACCGACCCGCGCCGATCATCGCGGTGAGGTACGGCAAAACGACCCAACGCGTGGCCCCACGCGGCGTGGAAGAGGCACAACATCCAGCAGCGGATCGACAAAGAGGGCTGTTACGTGAACACTCGGTCGTGTTTTCCACTAAACGCTGGGCTCACTGTTCTGCTGCTTCTGCTGCTGCTGCGTATGTTTCCGCGGTTGTGCGGCGCAGCTTTCCGGATTTGTCTTTGGTTGTCGTGAGGATTGATTGTACCGGGTGTTGTAAAGGATAAGTACATTTCCATAATAGAGGGGTTTTTTTTGTGGCGGGGGTGGTGTGGGTGGGGGTGTTAGATGGGGTTAGATCGGGGTAAATACGAATGCTGTCGTTGACCCCACCGCCACCCGACACGGCCAATCCGTGAGATTCGTCGCGTAAACCAAAACGTGCCAATTGGTTACCAGTTCAGCATACTCGTGTGTTGGAGAATAAACCCACAACCCGATTTGATCAGAAGAAAAGAAAAAAACCCTCTGTTATGACATAACATTGGTCGTGAAAACCCGCGCGACAAACAGACGTGCATTTGTTCGGCATGATGTCCAACGTTTCGCTCCACGTGCTGGGAGCTTATTCTGGAATTGAGTTCTTGGTGTTCGGTTCGATGTGTGCTGAGCAGCAGGAGGAGGTAGGGAGGAAGAGGTGAGGGGATGGGGTTCGGGTTGATCATCTGCTTGGTACATCCCTTTACCAACCTTTAACTGACTATTACGCATACCGTGTCAACCCATACGGTTTACCCCGTATTCTTGTGCAGGGAAATTGAGTTTTCAGGGCCATACTCCGTACTGCCGTTTCAATACGGGCAATATCTTTGTCTATTTGTTTGTGTTTCTCCCTTGTGATGGGACTTTGTAGGATGAACGTTGAGATTTATAAGGGGCACGGGGTGAACATTGAAGTCTGAATTGGTCTGTGATAAGGTAGGGCACTGATAAGGGTTTGACAGGTTTGTAGTGGTGAGTATACTAGTGTGTACTACTGGTGAGTGTACTGGTGGTGAGTGTACTGGTGGTGAGTGTACTAGTGTGGTGAGTGTACTAGTGGTGAATGTACTAGTGTGGTGAGTGTACTAGTGGTGAATGTACTAGTGGTGAATGTAGTCGTGGTGAGTATTTATTTGTTTGTGTTTCTCCCTTTCGATGGAACTTTGTAGGATGAACGTTGAGATGTGTACTGAGACGGGGTGACCAGTCAGGTTTCAATTGGTCTGTAATAAGGTGGGCACTGATTAGGGGTTGACAGGTATGTTGAAGTCTCCCATAGACTCAAATGTCGAAGTCTCCCATAGACTCCAATGTTGAAGTCTCCCATAGACTCCAATATCGAAGTCTCCCATAGACTCCAATGTCGAAGTCTCCCATAGACTCCAATGTTGAAGTCTCCCATAGACTCCAATGTTGAAGTCTCCCATAGACTCCAATGTTGAAGTCTCCCATAGACTCCAATGTTGAAGTCTCCCATAGACTCCAATGTCGAAGTCTCCCATAGACTCCAATGTTGAAGTCTCCCATAGACTCCAATGTCGAAGTCTCCCATAGACTCCAATGTCGAAGTCTCCCATAGACTCCAATGTCGAAGTCTCCCATAGACTCAAATGTCGAAGTCTCCCATAGACTCCAAAGTCGAAGTCTCCCATAGACTCCAATGTCGAAGTCTCCTATAGACTCCAATGTCGAAGTCTCCCATAGACTCCAATGTCGAAGTCTCCCATAGACTCCAATGTCGAAGTCTCCCATAGACTCCAATGTCGAAGTCTCCCATAGACTCCAATGTCGAAGTCTCCCATAGACTCCAATGTCGAAGTCTCCCATAGACTCCAATGTCGAAGTCTCCCATAGACTCCAATGTCCAAGTCTCCCATAGACTCCAATGTTGAAGTCTCCCATAGACTCCAATGTTGAAGTCTCCCATAGACTCCAATGTTGAAGTCTCCCATAGACTCCAATGTTGAAGTCTCCCATAGACTCCAATGTTGAAGTCTCCCATAGACTCCAATGTTGAAGTCTCCCATAGACTCCAATGTTGAAGTCTCCCATAGACTCCAATGTCGAAGTCTCCCATAGACTCCAATGTCGAAGTCTCCCATAGACTCCAATGTCGAAGTCTCCCATAGACTCCAATGTCGAAGTCTCCCATAGACTCCAATGTCGAAGTCTCCCATAGACTCCAATGTCGAAGTCTCCCATAGACTCCAATGTCGAAGTCTCCCATAGACTCCAATGTCGAAGTCTCCCATAGACTCCAATGTCGAAGTCTCCCATAGACTCCAATGTCGAAGTCTCCCATAGACTCCAATGTCGAAGTCTCCCATAGACTCCAATGTCGAAGTCTCCCATAGACTCCAATGTCGAAGTCTCCCATAGACTCCAATGTCGAAGTCTCCTATAGACTCCAATGTCGAAGTCTCCCATAGACTCCAATGTCGAAGTCTCCCACAGACTCCAATGTCGAAGTCTCCCATCGACTCCAATGTCGAAGTCTCCCATAGACTCCAATGTCGAAGTCTCCCATAGACTCCAGTGTCGAAGTCTCCCATAGACTCCAATGTTGAAGTCTCCCATAGACTCCAATGTCGAAGTCTCCCATAGACTCCAATGTTGAAGTCTCCCATAGACTCCAATGTCGAAGTCTCCCATAGACTCCAATGTCGAAGTCTCCCATAGACTCCAATGTTGAAGTCTCCCATAGACTCCAATGTTGAAGTCTCCCATAGACTCCAATGTTGAAGTCTCCCATAGACTCCAATCTTGAAGTCTCCCATAGACTCCAATGTTGAAGTCTCCCATAGACTCCAATCTTGAAGTCTCCCATAGACTCCAATGTCGAAGTCTCCCATAGACTCCAATGTCGAAGTCTCCCATAGACTCCAATGTCGAAGTCTCCATAGACTCCAATGTCGAAGTCTCCCATAGACTCCAATGTTGAAGTCTCCCATAGACTCCAATGTCGAAGTCTCCCATAGACTCCAATGTCGAAGTCTCCCATAGACTCCAATGTCGAAGTCTCCCATAGACTCCAATGTTGAAGTCTCCCATAGACTCCAATGTTGAAGTCTCCCATAGACTCCAATGTTGAAGTCTCCCATAGACTCCAATCTTGAAGTCTCCCATAGACTCCAATGTTGAAGTCTCCCATAGACTCCAATCTTGAAGTCTCCCATAGACTCCAATGTCGAAGTCTCCCATAGACTCCAATGTCGAAGTCTCCCATAGACTCCAATGTCGAAGTCTCCCATAGACTCCAATGTCGAAGTCTCCCATAGACTCCAATGTTGAAGTCTCCCATAGACTCCAATGTCGAAGTCTCCCATAGACTCCAATGTCGAAGTCTCCCATAGACTCCAATGTCGAAGTCTCCCATAGACTCCAATGTCGAAGTCTCCCATAGACTCCAATGTCGAAGTCTCCCATAGACTCCAATGTCGAAGTCTCCCATAGACTCCAATGTCGAAGTCTCCCATAGACTCCAATGTCGAAGTCTCCCATAGACTCCAATGTCGAAGTCTCCCATAGACTCCAATGTCGAAGTCTCCCATAGACTCCAATGTCGAAGTCTCCCATAGACTCCAATGTCGAAGTCTCCCATAGACTCCAATGTCGAAGTCTCCCATAGACTCCAATGTCGAAGTCTCCCATAGACTCCAATGTCGAAGTCTCCCATAGACTCCAATGTTGATGTCTCCCATAGACTTCAATGTTGAAGTCTCCCATAGACTCCAATGTTGAAGTCTCCCATAGACTCCAATGTTGAAGTCTCCCATAGACTCCAATGTTGAAATCTCCCATAGACTCCAATGTTGAAGTCTCCCATAGACTCCAATGTTAAATTCTCCAATAGACTCCAATTTTGAAGCATACCGTGTCAGCCCATACAGTTTACCCGGTTTTATTGTACAGGGAAATTGAGATTTCAGGTCCACGCGGCGTACAGCCGTTTCAATACGGGCAAAAAAGTCTATTTTTCATGTTTCTACCTTATGATGGGACTTTATAGGATGAACGTTGAGATGTATAAGGGGCATGGGGTAACCATTAAGGTCTGAATTGGTTTGCAATAAGGTAGGCACTACTAATAAGGGTATGAGTATGGTCATGTAAGGTCTGTTATCCTACAAAGCCACGTGTTGTTTTCATAACGCCAAATTTCGATATATCCCAATGAATGTGTTGGAACACATTTTTGCCTAGCTCCGACGCGAAGTGGATATTAACGGGATTTGAGTGAATGGAACTACGTCGCGCGAGTAGGAATAAGCTGTTGTTCGGCCGCGTCGGCATAGCATCACGCAGGGCGTTGGGATGCTGCTGGATGCTTCTAGACGCTACCCACGCGCCTCGGTCTTTGTTCGGCCTGCGTATGCATCTGACGTGTTATCGCGGACCGTGCTTTAGCCAGTATTATTCATTTATAACGCGATGTTTCCACAATGTGGTGTTCGGTAATGTAACAACTACCACGTTATAGGAGAACATGCTGTGTACGGTCAACAAACCCATGGGGAGCGTGGGAAGGCCTTCATTCAGCAGTGAACTGGCAAGTGCCATGCGTGGTGGAACAGCACTTGCCCCGTCATTCTGCTTGGCTATACAAATAATGACAAAGTACCGGAGTACATTTCGTATATATTCGTGCCATTCTTATAGCGCATGACTATCGTAAAGGTGCTGTGTTTCACAGATGATAAAGTCTGCCAGTGGGGCAGCGATACTGCTGCGTGTGATCCCAACTGACCAATTTGCAGGTAATTTTTTACATTTTGGACCGTGACGCTGACTCATTTCGAGCGACGTCGGAGGACCTTTAACAGTGTTTTGTGGTTAATACGCCCGCAGTAATAACCGGGGGGGAGCAGCCGCAATCGAACAAAGAACCTCTACAACAAGCGGCGAACGCGCCACTGCTGGACCGTGCCACACTGCTCCCCCGATGCGGGTGATCCCGGCCTCCTTTGTCTTCCTTTTAACCCGTCGGCGGCCTCCGTCCGCTTTTGTGCTCAGCGAGAGGAGGACACGGCGGAGGAAGAGGTGCGGTGGAGGGGGTCAGGGTCAGGGTCGGCCACCTCTGTCCCGGCTCGGCGTCGGCCGCGATGGCTTCGGCAGTGGAAGCGAAGTCCTTCCCACGGAAGGATCAGCCGGATCCAGGCGGAGTGACCGCCGCCGAGATGGGACCGCTGCTGCCGGGACGCACCGTGAGTCGCTGGGAGCTGCTGGTGGCCGTGGGTGTCGGGGCGGCACATGTCACCGCGTTCAGTTGTCAGGTCCGCCTTCGCTAAACCCGCAATGACCAACGTGGTGAAGTGTAGCTCGGTGATCCTCGGGGCCAACGTGGCATGGGGAGGCGTTCAATCCGACAGAGAGACACTTGCAGTGGAAACTGTCCACAACAGCCACGTGGGCAGACATGCAGGGCAGTCAGACCGCGACGCAAGCGGCAATACACAGATGCACCAATAGCCACAGAGAAACGCACAGGTAGAAATATCCCTCGTATAGCCTTCAACAGACTGTTGGGGCAAGTACTGTTAGCAAGCACCTAATGAAGGTGCTTGCTAACAGTAGGGGGGGGTGGGTGGCCAGCACCACGCCCGGCCATCTTTGTCTCCATAAGTGGAGAAGTTTACAAAATGCACTTGGTACTCATTTGAGGCTAAGTAGACCTCAGGGATGCCCAGGACCGGTTCAGATAATCGTAAATGGTGTTGTTAAACCCGCCACCACCCGTCACAGCAAAATTAGTTAGGTTTGTCACATAAACAGAACATGCCAATTCGTTACGAGTACAGCACACCGGTGTGTTGGAGAGCCAATCCACAACATTAACATCGACGTAAAACAACACAACAGCAATATATATGTATTGCTGTAAATGTTTTAGGGTCTGTAGTGTGTGTTATTGTACAGACCAACACGTAAAATGCTGCTAATGCTACGTGTTGTGTACTAGTGTTGTACAGGAATTGTCTTGTCCAGTACGCGTGAACGCTGGTCCCCCCACCCTACCACCCCTCCCCTACCACCCCCTCCCCACCACTCCTCCCCTATCCCCCCACCCCACCATCCCCCACCACCCCTCCCCTATTACATTTACACATTTCTACATTATACACAATATATAACGTATACCCAGTGCTTGTGTATTATACGTTACATGACATATTTCACGTAATATTGTCCTATTATATTTACTATCTCTTTGCATCCCATTTACATTTTAGATTATATATTTTTTTTTCAACTACCCAACCTAGTCCGGCTAAATACAAAATCCGTCTAGCAAGAGTCTGATTATCCATGGTCCAGCTAGCCAGGGATTTACTTTATTAGAGAGGTCAGTGCCGCCCTATGAGTCCGGCGGCCCTGAGTTCAATTCCTGGTCATGGCTAATATCAGTGGCGGATGTAAATACCTCAAGCAGTCCTGGCTGCCCACGTAACTTCACTGGCCAGCTTGATGAAGTATGGACAAAGATTCCTCATGACTAACCTAGCGTGTTGTAGATCTTTAGTTCTTGGAATATTTCATTTATAATTGTCTATGTAGTTTATGTATGTATATATCGAACTTCTTACCACCGTACGTAGCCAACCGTGCTAATCGGCGGTGTTTATGTTTGCGTACCGATTGTTGTCACTCGTCTTGGTAGTAAATCCACCTGTGGCCACCCAGCAGAATAAACCGGCACAGTCGGTCAATCGGCAGGTCGCGTGTGATGGGGTAATGTGTGGGTGATCCCACCGCTTCCGAGATGTCTGGTGATCTTGGAAGACCAAGCCAAGAAAACCATCAAGAGGGGAGGGGGGGGGAGGGGCTTTGGAGTTTTCTCTAAAAACGAAACTATTTTTTTTTTCCCCAGGTTAGGACCACTGAGCTTTATAGCTCTCTTTCAGAAGCGACCTGGCCACAAATGATAGCTCAACGAAGTGGCTTATCTATCACGTGGTAATGTATGGCAGCCAAATAGTCTAAACCCACGTTGAACATGCAAACTCTAAATATTCAGGTCGTCAGGGTTGGGATCGAACCCAAGACCTCCTGCATACTCCGTTGCGAAAGAAGTTCAAGATAAACACACACAGGCGAAGTACAGTGGTACCTCAGAGATCGAACTTAATTCGTTCCAAAACCGTGTTCAAACACCGATTTGTTCGAACACCGAATCAATTTTCCCCATAAGAATGAATGGAAATAGCATTAATTGGTTCCCCACCCACCATAGGATGCTCCTATTATGGGCCATTTTTACACAAAGTTTTCAATATTCAAATACAGTACAGTACATAAAAGCATACAAAAAACAAGAAACGCAGTTATAATTAATGGAATTAATGAACATTGAACTTCACTTTACCTGTAGTAAGGAGAGTGGATGGCTTGAGTGGAAGGTGGTGAGGAGGGGAGGAGGTGTCAGTGTTGCTTGGAAGGGGAGTCCCCCTCCATAAACACGTTGGGTAACTGCCCTTCTGGGGTTCTTTATTCTCTTTGCCTTTTGTCGAGCACTAACTGTGATTCACTTGAGGGCCTTTTTACTAAAAACTGATCAAGAGAGGATTGTTTCTGCCTCCGTTTTAAGGTGTTTCTGAAATGACTCAATGCATTATCATTATAAAAATCGCCTGCTCCGCTGGCTACTGCCTTATCTGGATGATTTTTTGTATAAAATTGTGTTACTCAGCCCATTTTGCCACCTTTGAAAAGGGCTTTCGTGTAGAGTTTTTTAAAGTTGGAAATTACCTGTTGGTCCATGGGCTGGATGAGAGGATTCGTATTGGGGGGGGCAGGAACTTTACAGTGATGAAGGACGAGAGCTACGCGTAAACTGGGCCATTCGCCGTTGTCTTGGTTGCCCTGGCTACGCGTCTAGGCCCAAACCGGTTCTTTCCAGTTGTTTGACCTCCGAATTTTTGTTCGATGTCCGAGGCAAAAAATGGTCGAAAATTTTGTTCGATCACCGAATTGTTCGAGTTCTGGGGCGTTCGATTTCCGAGGTGTTACTGTAGTTAACATCTCGCCACCGTGGAGCCTCTGGTGGAGGGCCTTCTGCCAGCGGTGGCACGAGCGAGGCATTTCAGGGCTGCACCTTTACCAAATCTGCGGGTGTGCAGGATGCGCGGGCGACTTCTGGTGGAGCCACTGAGGAGGAAGAAGATGAGGAGGAGGAGGTGCCGCTGAGAGTCATCACGCTGCCCGAGCAGGCCCACCACGCCATGGAGAAGATGGAGGAGTTTGTGTACAAGGTATGTATGTGTGTACGTTGAACTTCTTTCACACCGTACGTAGCCAACCGCGATAATGGGCGGTGCGGGGGGAAGGACAAAGCTGCCACGCTTCTGAGAGACTCAACCACGACTCATGACGAGTCCCTCTCTCCCTCACACTCTCAGCACCGCTCACAGGAAAAAGACAAAGATCCCCCGTGTAGCCTCAACAGACTGTTGGGGCAAGTGCTTTTAGCGAGCACCTATGAAGGCTGGCACGGCACACGAGGGGGGTGGGTGGCCAGCACCACGCCCGGCCGCCTTTGTCTCTCTAGTGGCGATGTTTACTACACACCGCACCAGCTACTCGTGTTTAGGCTGAGTCGACCTCCTATTGCACAGCCACGCTCGCTCAGCTTACTACCCCGTCCCAACAGTGAACGTGACCTCCTTGCTCTTTCTGATGTGCCTACGAGCATTTTTAGTGGCCACTCCATGTGCCCATGGGCGCTGCCCACTCCTCTGCCAGCTCGTCCAGCATCCCGGCTAGCTCTGCCCCGCTGCATCATGGGTCGAGCACGAGGGCAGAATATTTTACACGGAGATAGAAAAAAAAAAATCTCTCGATTTTCACAAAAACCTCGGGACACCGGTCGCAGTGTCTCGTCGTGTAAGTGACGGGCATTTTCCACGTGATTATCATCATCATCATTGTCATCAACGTTGTTATCATCGGAATCATATTAATCATCATTATTATCACCGTCATAATCATCATTACTCTCCTCATCATCACCACGATTGTCGCCGCGATCATCGGCATCACTGCCTCCTGTTTATTTTAGACTTTTTTTTCTCTGCCAAAAGGTCAGGGCTTCCCGAAATATGCAGCTGCCTTGCCCGTCTTTTGACCCAGAAGACCCCGTTATAGCAAAGTGGGAAGCGGTTGTTTACAGTGGGCATCATCAACTGGCCACAGCTGAACAATAGCGGGGGGGGGGGGGGGGGGACCAGCTACAAACACAAGCGGAATTGCAGAGTAAACGAATACAAGTCGATTACTCATTGTCTTTGGTGGGTGGAGGGGGCGAGTCAGGAGGCAGTCGTAACAAGAGAGGTGGAACCCCTCCTCGGTCAGTATTCACCAAAGGTCACTGAGGTTGGTTACATAGGTTTGTAGGTCGACTCGACCTCAAATGAGTACTTGGAGTGGTGTGTAAACATCGCCACTGGGGAGACAAAGGCGGCTGGGGTGTGGTGTTGTTGGAATTGCAGAGTAAACGAATACAAGTCGATTACTCATTGTCTTTGGTGGGCGGAGGGGGGGAGTCAGGAGGCAGTCGTAACAAGAGAGGTGGAACCCCTCCTCGGTCAGTATTCACCAAAGGTCACTGAGGTTGGTTACATAGGTTTGTAGGTCGACTCGACCTCAAATGAGTACTTGGAGTGGTGTGTAAACATCGCCACTGGGGAGACAAAGGCGGCTGGGGTGTGGTGTTGTTGGAATTGCAGAGTAAACGAATACAAGTCGATTACTCATTGTCTTTGGTGGGCGGAGGGGGGGAGTCAGGAGGCAGTCGTAACAAGAGAGGTGGAACCCCTCCTCGGTCAGTATTCACCAAAGGTCACTGAGGTTGGTTACATAAGTTTGTAGGTCGACTCAACCTCAAATGAGTACTTGGAGTGGTGTGTAAACATCGCCACTGGGGAGACAAAGGCGGCTGGGGTGTGGTGTTGTCCTCCCACCCCCTCGTGTGCCGTGCCGGCATTCATAGGTGCTCCTCGCTAACAGCGCTCGCCCCAACAGCCTCTTCAGGCTGTACGGGGGATCTTAGCCTTCGTATCGGGAGAGATCGTCCACTAACTTTGGGATGGGCGGTTGCTGTGTGCTGTGTGAGATACTTTTCTGGGTTATATCTCGGAGGGCTCGGGGTGGGCAGGAAGAGGGGGCGGGGGGCGGTTACGATTAAGCAGTTGACAGACTGTCATTTTGTTTTTGGTGTTGTAACCGTGAGGTCTTGCAGGACCGGGCACTTGTGAAGCTGAGTAACGCAGCGAATCATTGAGAGGGCGCGGGGGGGGGGGTGGGGATGGGGCGCTTGTTTCCCCCTCTCCGAACACATTTCGTGGCAGTTAGAAGCAATGCGCCTCACACGATTTGCGTGTCTGTGGTGTTTGCGACCGGCACCTTGGGGTTCGTGCCAACGCTGTGCATGACGGCGCGGCTGTGTGCTCGTGCCAGCTGGGGTGGCGGGGGCGGGGGGGGGGGAGGGCGGCGGGGGGTGCCGATCCGGGCACCCCCGGCGACGTTCGCTTCTAATGCATGCGGCGTTACGAACAAAAACGAAACCATAACACCCAGCAGCAGCAGCAGCCTCGCTAGATGCAACAAAAATGTAATCTGGACAAGTCAGGATGAGCTGCCCCACGACCGCATGGTGCAAGTTGCTGGCGCAGGCTTTACAGTAAAAAAAAAAACGAGGAAAAATGATCACGCGCACCCATGGGATTATGGAAAGTAGTTGACGAGAGATAATCGCTTGACTTTCAACGGACCGACTTGAAGGGTACAGTGAGGGGATAAAAGTATTTGATCCCCTGCTGATTTTGTACGTTGCTGCCTATGACCCCAAGAACACCATCCCCCACCGTCAAACATGGAGGTGGAAACATTATGCTTTGGGGGTGTTTTTCTGCTAAGGGGACAGGACAACTTCACCGCATCAAAGGGACGATGGACGGGGCCATGTCCCGTCAAATCTTGGGTGAGAACCTCCTTCCCTCAGCCAGGGCATTGAAAATGGGTCGGAGGATGGGTATTCGAGTTGCCAAACGTCAGCCTCGAAACCTTAATGACTTGGAGAAGATCTGCAAAGAGGAGTGGGACAAAATCCCTCCTGAGATGTGTGCAAACCTGGTGGCCAACTACAAGAAACGTCTGACCCCTGTGATTGCCAACAAGGGTTTTGCCACCAAGTACTAAGTCATGTTTTGCAGAGGGGTCAAATACTTATTTCCCTCATTAAAATGCAAATCAAATTATAACATTTTTGACATGCGTTTTTTCAGGATTTTCTTGTTGTTATTCTGTCTCTCACTGTTCAAATAAACCTACCATTAAAATGATAGACTGATCATTTCTTGGTCAGTGGGCAAACGTACAAAATCAGCAGGGGATCAAATACTTTTTTCCCTCACTGTAGCTCTGTGAGATGAGATTCGGTGGGCCCCCTCTCTCACACGGAAGGGTTTGCGCTGCTCCACGAGACAATCGGTTGGATCCGTGGTCTCGTGACGTGACGGCGTGATGCAGATAGCACGATCGAAATCAAGCTTTGGTAAAATGACAACACAATTTTTTAAGAAAAATCATGCAAATGGATGGAGCCTTCGTTCTCCTGAGTGTTCAGTTCGCCGTAATTACTTTGCAAGGTGCACGAGATGGCCACGCAAGGTGCGCACGGCTTGTGACGTTACCAACTTGTCTGAAAAGGCTTGCCCAAGTTTTGGGCGCTCCCTCCGCCCACTTTGATCAATTTGGCCGGTTTCTCTCTTGGGTAGTTTCCTGATAGCCAACACAAGCGTTGTGCTGAAGTTCCATTCACGTTCGATCGCCTTTTACAGACGGGACAGAGCGAGTGCATTAACCCTTTTAACCTTCGCTGAGAAGCAGTCAAAAATGTACGAGGACGTGCAAAATCTGGGCCGTCATCTCGTCGCCGCGAGTTTCGAGTTCGAGTTGATTTCGCCGAACTCCGATCAGCACGGTTGGCTACGTCAAAAGAAGTTCGGCGTTCGTACGTACAACTAGGCGAGAGCTCAAGAGACCAGGCGAGAGTCTCATTAGCAGGAGTGACGTGGGTCACAACAAAAGCAAAACAATAATTAGAGTAAAGAAACCTGAACAGAAACAAAAACACATTCCACGAGCAGTCGAGAATATTGTCGTTCGTTCGTTCGTTTCTCGGTCTGCTTGTCCTGGTGAGGGTCGTGGCGGAAGCGTGTTAAGTGGGGCGGTCGAGACCTCCCTTTCCCTGGCGACAGGCTCTTCCTGGGGAATTCTTAGGCGTTCCCAGGCCAGCCAAGGGACATAGTCCCGCCAGCGTGTCCTGGATCTTCGCCCACAATATTGTAGTAACACAGATCAACGTGAAATCAAAGCATAATGTTAAATTCCCTACAGCGCCAAATTCGCTGCCAGCGCCAAACTCGATTCACCTCCAGATTGAGCACGGCACAAATCACACAACTGGGCTACAGAAACATTTCAAAAAGAGGTGCAGGGTCGCTCTCGTACGAACATATGTAAAGAGACGAGGATACACACGAAGTCAAAAGCAATTGCGGAGAGCCGAATGACCGAGGACCGTTTTTGGAAGCGATTGGAAATTCCAGCGTGTTTTTTTTTTATCGTGAACCCATCGACGCGCAGGTGTGGGAACGGCGCTGGCAGGTTATCCCGTTCGACCTGCTGCCCAGCTGGCTGCAGGACAACGACTACCTCCTGCAGGGCCACCGGCCGCCAATGCCGTCGTTCCGCGCGTGCTTCAGCAGCATCTTCCGCATCCACACGGAGACCGGCAACATCTGGACGCACCTCATCGGTGAGAGAAGGTTGCGCGAATAGCAGCACGCATCGTGACGATGGCTTTGCACGTTTGGTAAGCGCGCCGTTGTTCGAGACGCGGGGGGTGTCGCGAATGTGATTTGTTTTACAGACGAAAGCCTTGCAAGTAGTTTAGCAGTAGGGGGCGATGCTGCTATGTGTAAAGAGTGCTTTGCTGGTCATTTTTTTGTCGTTGCAAATTTGGACCGTGAGGCCTGCATACAATGGCGTATGTGTGTGTCTCTCTCTCTCTGTGTGTCTCTGTGTTATCTTTCTCTGCTTATGTGTCTGTGTATGTGTCTCCGTGTCTGTGTTTTGTCTCTCTCTCAAATGTAGCAATCTTTGGAAGAACGTAATCAACCAGGTAGGGTGTTGACTGTTATGTTAGCCGACTCTCTGTGTTGTATTGTAAGTTTACTAGGTTTGTTTTCTTTTTCATTTGTACCTGATGATGATTGCTTGTGTTGCAATCGAAACGTCGTATGCTATTATTTAAAAATATATATACATTTATTTTTTACGTGACTTTACCGAAAGAACCAAAGAGTCATTCCTGCAGTCACGAAAGCTCCAAAGCAAGTTTTAATGGCCTGCCCATTTCGAATGACGTAAGGGGATCATTACCGTCCACTGTGAAGAAGATTAAAGTTAGGCCTTGGGCTTTGTGGTCAGGTCAAGGGTCGGCAACCCGCGGCTGCTGAGCCGCATGCGGTGACTCCATAAGGACTGCAGTGGCGGCTCTTGAAAATCGAAACAAATGTCTCTTCTTGTTATTGTGGTTGCTGACCCCCTGTTTACCATGGGAGTCCAGTTTACCATGGAGGTCCAGTTTACCATGGAGGTCCAGTTTACCATGGGAGTCCAGTTTACCATGGGAGTCCAGTTTACCATGGAGGTCCAGTTCACCATAGAGGTCCAGTTTACCATGGAGGTCCAGTTTACCATGGGAGTCCAGTTTACCATGGGAGTCCAGTTTACCATGGAGGTCCAGTTTACCATGGAAGTGTAGTTTACCATTGAGGTCCAGTTTACCATGGGAGTCCAGTTTACCATAGGAGTCCAGTTTACCACGGAAGTCTAGTTTGCCATGGGAGTCCAGTTTACCACGGAGGTCCAATTTACCATGGGAGTCCAGTTTACCATGGAGGTCCAGTTTACCATGGAAGTCCAGTTTACCATGAAACCCCGGTAAACTGGACTTCCATGGTAAACCATGCGGCTCGCTTCATGACGTTACTTATGGGGCCATCCATTTAGTACGTACGCAAAAATCTGTCAAAACTTGACCCTCCCCCCCTCCCTGTACACACGCGTACTTTTTACAACCCCCCCCCCCCACCTGCGTACGGACGCTTGACGCACCCCCCCCCCCCCAATCCTATAGAACGGCCGATATTTAATCCACACGGAAACGATCAAGGATTAATAATATTAACGTGTTTAAGCAAACAGATAGTCCATCGCCGGCTGCATTACAGAATTTAGTTGCGTACCTTTACAAAATTTGTCTGGTGCCCACTAGGTTCAAACGCTGACTGAACCCAGTCAAACAGGTTACGTGTTATAGGAATTTCGTCAACGCGCGCAATGTCAGGCTGAAGCACAGCAGCTTTAGCTGCGGTCTTCTGGGCCGCCTTCTCAAGATCCACAGCTTCGCTGACGTCGTCATCATCATCCAGCTTTTGATTGTTCTCACTCTCAGAAGACTCCGTAGTGTGAATGCGCTGGTGTCGTTTTACACTGGCCTGCGACTAGCGGTGATGCACGCCGCACACGGGACATGTGCGCTTGGTAATAATTTCAGGTTGTGCAAGTGACGGACGGCGCTTATCAAAAGTAGCACGAACAGAGCACCGCGGCAGCTAAAATCTTGAGCCAGCGGCAGTCTGCGGTGAGGCCAGATTGAAGGATGTGCAATCCATGGGGCAGGCCCCCAGATTATGTCAGACTCAACTGCTGAGCTGCGTGATAGCTAGCAGTCAGGGGTACGGTGGCACGCGAGTGACACCTCTCCCACAGTCCCACTTCTCCCGGTAGTACTTGTTGTCTGACAGCTGAAGAAACTGAACTGTGGCTCATTCGAAGGCCAATGTAGACATTATTATCGAGGCTTCACACCCCCTCCCCCCCCCGTTCCCTATCCATACGTAACATTGTCAGTAGACCCCCCATACGCAAGTGTACGCATTTGGGTTAACCCCCCCTCCCCCCTCCATTCGTACGTACTCAATGGCTGGCCCCTATTAAGGACCACCGCCTCGTATTTACGTGCATTGTGGCTCTTGAAATATTGTCGTTTCTACTGAATTCGAAAGAAATGGCTCTCCTTGTTGTTTTGGTTGCCGACCCCTGGGTTAGGTAAAGGCTAGGGGTTAGGATTTAGCACGAGGCCTTGGATTAGGGTTAGAAATTGACTGATGGTTTTCTCTTGGGTTTTAGCTTAAGGTTAGGGGATAGGACTTGGGTTAAGGCTATAGATTAAGTTATGATGTGGGTTAGGCTCATATTATTCTGATTATAAAATCATGGTTGGTTTATGGTTGTCTAGCTTCGGTGAGGGCTAGGATTTGCGTAATAGTTAGGAGTTAGAATATTACGGCACACATCTTATGGTTAATACACACCGCGGTAATAACCAGGGTGCTCCTTGCAGATTCGAGCCGCGAACCTCTGCAACACCACTAGGCCACGTCACCGCCGCAATGCCACCGTAATCCTACTTCGTATGTTGTCGCGTGTTTTATCGCGTTATCGCTCGGCACTATGCCCGACGTTTCGCGACACGCTCCGTGAGCTTCTCCGGAGTCCTGAAGAACAATATAGACATTTTTTTTTCTTGAAGGAGCTCCCAGCGAATTCCCAGTACGAAGAAAGAAGCGTAAAGATAAGTGTGGTGTAATAGTGAGAACACTGATGCTTGCGAATCCAGAGGTCGCTGGTTCCACGGCACTGCAGTTGGAACCGATGGAGAAAATTTCTTAAATCCCCCATCGCCTCTGTCCACCCAGCGGTATAAATTGGTTCGGCGCAGTTAGTCGACAGGCAGGTCGTGTGCGGTGGGGTCAAATATGGATACTGCCACTTCTGCCGTAAAGACTGGCCAGCTTGGAAGAGTAGGCCAAATACTCTCCAAACGAGCTCTCACGAGTTGCCTCGTCAGCAGTGGCATTAAGAGGCATGTGCGAGGCCGCGGCCTTTATCTTTCATGGTGGTCGAACGCAGTACGGACGATACGAAGCGATCAGTTTGGTCGTCCGAACGCTCGAATCGAATTGTTTGCCGCCACCGCCGCCGCCGCCGCCGCCGCCGCCACCACCACCGCGTCCAGCTAGCAGGCGTTCAACGCGGACGCGTCACCAGCGGGGCGCTGCTGACGGTCGCCGGTGACGGCGGTGCCGCTCGCCCACGCCCCTCCCCTCCCCGCCCCACTCCAACAGGCTTCGTGCTCTTCCTGTCGTTGGGCGTGGTCTACATGCTGCGTCCCAACATGGCGTTCGTGGCTCCGCTGCAGGAGAAGGTGGTGTTCGGCGCGTTCTTCGTGGGCGCCGTGCTCTGCCTGTGCTTCTCCTGGCTCTTCCACACCGTCTACTGCCACTCGGAGAAAGTCTCGCGCACCTTCTCCAAGTGAGTGTCGCACGAGCTCACGGGCGCGAGCTCACGGCCAGCAAAAAAAACAAAGATCTTGGGTGCCGCGGTTGGCGAGATGTTGACCGCCTCGCCTGGTATGCAGGAGGTCGTGGGTTCAATCCCGATCCTGATGCCTGCTGCTGTATATTTTGAGTTTATGTGTTCACTCTCCCTCTGGTGGTCGTTTGGATTTTTTCGGGGTCCTCCAGTTTTTTGCTTCACAGTTAGAATCAACGTCACACGTTTAGAGAATTTGGCTGCTATAAATTTCCACTTGATGATGAGCCACTTATTTGGGCTATCATTTGTGGCCAGGTTGCTTTTTAAAAAGAGCTACATGGCACAGTGCGCCTTACCTGGTAAAATAAAAAAAATAGTTTAGTTTCGTAGTAAGTAGTACTTCTTATTGCCGAGGGCCACAAGTTTCAAGTTCAACTTTATTTTGTTTAACCAGAGACTAAGTTAGTCTCATTTGCAAGAGTGAGTGAGTGGATCGGTGAATGGGCAAGTGAGTGAATGAATACATGAGTGAGTGAATGAGTGGGCGGGTGAGTTGGAGGGCGAGTGGGTAAACGATGAAGTGAGAGAGTGATTAAGTCCAAGTTGATTTTGTGCACCCAGGTGAGTACTCATGAGACCAGGATGAGCCTCTAATGCAAGCGTGACCTGCGCGAACAAAATGACAAAAGCCAAACTAAAATCGTACAGTAGAACACGTGTCTATCCCCTCTATTTCAGAGAACGAAACAGGATTTATCCACAGATCTGGCTGTCGCTTGATGATGCCAGTCGTAATTACTGGCGAATAGTCGTACACGGATTGTTAATGTTGTGGATTTGCTCTCCAGCACACCAGTTAGTGCTGTACTAGTCACAACTTGGCATGTTCTTTTTACGTGACAAACCTTACAAATTGGCTGTGGCGGGTTTAAGAACACATTTATATTTATTCGATCTAACCCAAAAGAACTTGTACAGTACAGCAAGACACTACATCTATCACTTGTTTTTTTTTTACAGTGCCCTTCATGATAAATTCGCCTCTCGTTGCTTTGCAGGAAAATTTAATTAACTAAAATACTCTAAATATGTACATCGGAGAACAATAAAAATGGCAAAAGGCGTGGGAGAGCTATCGAAAGTGGAAATGCATAGGAAGTATAAATACTTGAAAGAAAGCCGTAAATTATTGATTATGAGCATTTTTGAACGCTGGTTTGCACAAATATGTTCTCGTTCTTACTTTTAAAATAGCAACAGACGGAGCCCCTGATTCATAATTAGATTCTTGGGGGTTAGGTCGTCGTGTGGGTATAATTGTCAATGTTTTAACTGTAACCCTCCATCGCCCGACACGGACAATCAAATCAAGTTGTCACATGGGCAAATATGCCAATTGATTTGGTTATTCAGGAAAACCAGCGGAATGTTGGAGATGCATTTTGCTCGCTTTTAAAGAGCAATGTTGCATGCTTATCAACACGACGACCTAACCCCAAAATAAACTAAAGATGGGCCTTATCTGGTAAAGTGTAATAAAAAAATAAATGAATATGAATCATTAGTTGTGAAAACATACGTATAAAAGTGAGAAGGAAGCCTCCCTTACAGGGGGTGGCAGCTCATTCCCGGAGCTGATGCTCTACCGCAGCGGTCTTCACCGCAAGGCCTCCCGCGGGCCACCGGCGGCCCCTGGTGGCCTTTAGTGCGGCCCCTGACGTGCGGTCCCCGACACGGTACACAACGTGTGAGAACAACTCCCCCCGTGATCATCGTGGTGCTGTCGAACCTCAATGCTTTCAAACGGCGTGGCGGCCCTCTCACACTGACCGATGTCTTATCGGCGAAAGTGCCCCCCACCCCCCGCCCCCCCTCTGAATACGAATGAAGAATCCCGCTCTACAGAGCACACGATCGCGTGCTATTATGATTGAAAAGAACTTCGGACGAGGTGAGTATGGCTCACCGTCATGGTTTATTCACAGGTCACCTGCAAACGCATGGAGACCAGAATGCGCGCCGAGCTCGCTCTCTCTCTCTCGGGCCCCTCGTATATCCTGAACTCCCCTTTCTAGCAGGTTCTCCTCTCTCTCTCTTCAAATCCCCTTTCTCTTTTTCCAACGGTTATCAACCGTTTCTTATTAATAACTTGTATCTTCCTGCCCCTTCCCTTTGCACCAATGTGATTTGAATGCTCCGATGCCTTCCAATCAGATTGGCGGCGGCGGCGGCGGCGGCGGCGGCGTCGCCCACCAAGTTGGTTGTCGGCGGCCCTGCTACTTTTAAACTTGGCCTGCCTGTGCAGTCGTTAGGAATTCTGGCAGGCTACCCCCCCCCCCCCCCACCGCTGCCGCCCCCCACTCACAGACGTAGGGTTGGCCGCCAGGTCTGACCCTTGCGTGATCAGCCATCGTCTCCTGCCGCTCGGAGAAAGCCTCGCGCACCTTCCACATGCGAGAGCTCTTCACGGCAGCGAGCATCAGTAGCGAATATCATTACCCGTTCTGTGCCTCCCCTAGGTCGACTCGGCCTTCATTGGGTACCTGGTACGGCGCGTGCGGCGACGGTCGCGCAGCCCGCTCCGGTGAGCCGGTGCCGGCCTTTGTTGGTGCTCATTACCGGCGCTTGCCCCGACGGTCTACAAGAGGCCGCCCGGGGGGGGGGGGGGGGGGTGTGGGGGGGGGGGACATTTGCCTTTGTACACGCGCACGTTCGCAAGTGTGCATTGTGCGCGTGCGTGTGCGTGCCACGCAGGCTCGACTACTCGGGCATCGCTCTGCTCATCATGGGCAGCTTCGTGCCCTGGCTCTACTACTCGTTCTACTGCTCTCCGCAGCCGCGCCTCATCTACCTCGTCATCGTGTGCGTGCTGGGCGTCGCTGCCATCGTCGTCTCGCAGTGGGAGCGCTTCTCCACGCCGGCCTACCGAGCGGTGCGCGCCGGTGAGGCTCGGCCACCGTCGTCTTTGTTGACCCGACGCCGACTGACGGCGATCGCCGACCGACGCCGACGGCGGTCGCTGACCAAGACTGACGGCGGTCGCTGACCCGACGCTGATCGTGATCGCAGACCGACGCTGATCGTGATCGCAGACCGACGATGATGACGATCGCTGACCGACGGTGATCGCTGACCGACACTGCTAGAGATTGCTGACCGACGCTGATCGTGATCGCTGACCGACGATGATGAGGATCGCTGACCGACGGTGATCGCTGACCGACACTGCTAGAGATTGCTGACCGACGCTGATCGTGATCGCTGGCCAACGTTCATCGCGATCGCTGACCGACGCTGATCGTGATCGCAGACCGACGCTGATCGTGATCGCTGACCGACGATGATGACGATCGCTGACTGACGGTGATCGCTGACCGACACTGCTAGAGATCGCTGACCGACGCTGATCGCGATCGCTGGCCGACGCTGATCGCGATCGCTGACTCGCCCATCATAATCGTTGACCGAATTTGAATCTGGGTTTCGGCCGCACCGCAGTTAAACCGGGCTCTTAAGCCGAAGTGAGCCTGCGGGTCTTAGCGAGGTGTCCTGGTTTAATTGAGTAGGGAAGGAACGTGACGGGGTCGACCATGCCGCGTGCTTCCCCTCTGCGCCTCTAAAGGGGGCACTGTCGTATTCCTCTTCCCACGCATCCGTGCTGTTATCACAGCGGTCGGGAACGGAGGCTCCAGCCTTTGGACCTTGGTGACGGATCTCCAGATTTGCTGAAACCCGCAGCATGTGCGGGAGACGCGTGACACGCGCAGCTCCGCGCTGTCGCCGTCGCGAGATCCGTGCGGAACTCTCGCGGCAGGGTGCGACCTTGTTTCGCAAGAGAACAGCCCACAGATCTTGATATTACAGAGCTACATCTCAATATCAATTCCAGTGACCTCTGGTCCACACAGGAGAGGGTAGCACTTTCCCACCCGACCTGCCACATGGAGTAATGTTAATTGAATAACAGTCCACCGGTATATATATTTGTTTTAATTCTTAAAGAGTTGGCAATGCCACCAAACTTAAGGTACATATTGAATGTGTAATTTTTTTTTCTACGTCAACCGATCGCGTCTGTCTGTCTCTCCCCGGCAAGGCGTGTTCCTGGGCCTGGGTCTGAGCGGCGTGGTGCCAACCATCCACTTTGCGGTGGCCGAGGGCTTCGTGAAGGCCACCACGGTGGGGCAGATGGGCTGGCTGCTCCTCATGGCAGTGCTGTACATCACGGGCGCGGGGCTGTACGCTGCGCGCGTGCCCGAGCGTTTCTTCCCGGGGAAGTGCGACATCTGGGTACGCTGATGATTTTGCCGTTGCTGCTGATGCTGCTGCCGTTGTTGATTTTGCTCCTGCTGCTGCTGTTGCTGTTGCTGCCACTACTCCTCTCCTCTCTCTCATCTCACTCCACTGTCCGGCGCGCCGTCTCCGCTCCAGCAATAGAGGCCTCCTTTTTTTTTTTGATCAATTGGAGTTTTTATAAACCAACTCAACGCGAGGCCGGGGTGTAAAGCGCCGATCGCAGAACGGGAAGGGGGGGGGGTCTGCTCTTTTTCACGAACAGCGGCCACCGAGTTTGACGCGACGAGGGGGCCCGAATGAAGGGGCGGAAAACTGGGGTCCACCGCTGCCCCACCCAGGTGGCGACCACGAGCGGGAAGGGGGGCGGGCGGGGGGGGGAGGGGAGTTCGGGGAACATGAACAGAGGCCTCATTCTTACAGAGCCGCCCGCAGTCTACCTTCATTCAGTGGCGGGGGAGGGGGGTCGCTCCTTCTCGGCCTCTGCTCTCGCTGTCTGGAATCCTCTTCTTGTTGATCTCCTTTTGTGCGGCTGAGGCTCTGTCGCCGTCCTCGTTCAAAGTCAAGACCTAAGTCCCGATTTGTTTTGACGAACATGCGGATGTTTATTTATTTTCCCCTTCTCCTGTGAATCGTCTCGAGACGTGGTTGTATGTATGTTGAACTGTACGTGGGTACGTTGAACTTCTTTCCGCAACGTGCGTAGCCGACCGTGCTACTTATTGCAGGTGCGGTGAAAGAATTATCAAACTAAAAACAAAAAAGCTGTCGTAAAGAAAATTAGTTGTCATTTTGGAAGCTACGCTATAAACTCTATAGTATCTCCACTTCATGCTTCTGTTCCATTGCTCCATTGCACGAATGTATCTGCAGTCGATCACCACGAGACATTCTTGATGGACAAGTCGAATTTAATGAAACAAATAAAGAGCTGGCTTTGATGTAATCCTCATCAGACACTCACCACTCGGTATAAATACCGAGCAGATACTCACCACTCGGCAGACTCTGCACAACACTGAGTAGACACTCACACTCGGCAGTAAGTATGTTCCGTATGTTGAACTTCTATCGCACCGTACGTAGCCAACCGCACTAATCGGAGGTGCGGAGTAAGGCCGACGAAACCAAAGACGAATATCTGCCCTGAAGAAATTCGTCTTCAATCTGCATTGAAAAGTGCATAGCACAAGTGGCTGCCTAATATCGGCACATGGCCGCAGAAGCGAATGTGAAAGCGCCGCGACGTGGTGACCCTCTTTATTCGATGTGTGTGCCGGGAGACACCGTCCCCTCGTGCGCGGCGCCAGCCCCCCATACTCGCCCGCCAATCAGCGCTTGCCCCTGGCGGTCTGCGTGGGCTACACGGGGGAAACTTTGCTTTTTGCGTGCACGGCGTGTGCGTTTTCTCTCTCAGTTCCAGTCGCACCAGATCTTCCACGTGCTGGTGGTGGCGGCGGCGTGCGTGCACTTCCACGGCGTCTCCAACCTGCAGGAGTTCCGCTACTCCATCGGCGGAGGCTGCACGGACGACACGCTCTTCTAAGGCGCGGGACGGCGCGGACGAGCCGCCCCTTTACGCCGCCGCCGTCGCCAGCAGCAGCAGCAGCAGCAGCGGTAGCAGACGTCACTTTAGGCGGGCGGAGCAGCGTTTCTGCTCCCCCCACCAGTCCCTGTCCCGTTCCCTCCATTTCCGTTAATTCTTGACGCTGCACGCTGGTCTGGTAAAGTTTGGCGTCGTGAGGGTGCCGGCCTCCGGCCCCGGCTGCCGCCACTGCCACGAGCGGCGGCGGCGGCGGCGGTGGCGGTGGCGGTGGCGACGTTTACTTGAAAGTATGCCGATGAATCGGCGACAGTTAGTCCAATTTTTCACCGTCGGTGAAACCGTCCACTGGACTCTCCTTCAACCTTCGCGTTTGCAGTTCCCTCTGTGCGACCTCGTGCGACCTCGTGCGACCTCGTGCGACCTCGTGCGACCTCGTGCGACCTCGTGGGACCTCGTGCGACCTCGTGCGACCTCGTGGGACATGGGCTGAGATGGAAGGGGGCGAGGGCGCCCTGGGCGCGGAACACGTGGCTCATTTTGCCGTGCGCCGTTAAATCCTCGCTGCGTGACCGACCGCGCGTTCGTTCGTTCGTTCTCCTCTCCGCTGCCAACCCTCTAGGGGTTGGGTGGGGGGGGGGGTGGAAACTCGCTGAATTTATTCAGGGATGCCACGAGCCTCTGACAATCTGGTTTGGTTTTTTGGGGGAGGAGGGGGTCTTGCGGAGCGAGACGGTGGCGGCGTTTAGATCTTCATCCGTTGGTCACCCTTCTCGAGAAAGTTTGCTCTACTCAGCATGTCATCAAAATGCGGGGGGGGGGGAGGGGGGGGGTGGGGGCGGGCGGGCGGGGGGCTCCACCGTGTGGATTGGGATGCCGACGGGCTGCGCTACGGCCCCGACATCACCTTCTGAGTTGAGCCGTGCGGCACGCGCAGTACGGAAGGTTGAGAGCGGCTGCTTCGAGCAGCTGACGGCAAGAAGGGCCCTCCCGCCTACTTCCCGAGAGGCCTTTCTGGCAGGCGCTTGGCCTACTCTTCCATGCTGGTGGGCCTGCTCACGCGCTCTGGCCAACCGCACGCGACCTGCCGATCGACTAACCGTGGTGAACCCATTTATGCTGCTGGGTGGATAGAGGAGGTGGGGGGGGGGATTTAAAAATAAAACGTCCGTTATTTCAGATTTTTTTTTGTTGCAAAAAAAATAAAAACTATTTTGTTTTACCGGGTAAGGCCCACTGAGCTATAATAGCTCTTTTTCAGAAGCGACCTGGCTTCCACGAATGATAGCCCAATGAAGTGTAAATTTATAGCAGCCAAATACTCTGAACGAACGTTAATTCTGAATGTGGAGGTAAAGGCCGGAGGACCCCGGAAAAAATCCACGCGACCACACGCAAACTCCAAATATACAGCAGGCGTTAGGGTCTGGATGGAACCCACGACCTCCTCCATACCAGGCGAAGTAGTTAACATCTCCTAGCCACCGTGATGAGAGATAGAGACACGCAAACTCCAAATATACAGCAGGTGTTAGGGTCTGGATGGAACCCACGACCTCCTCCATACCAGGCGAAGTAGTTAACATCTCCTAGCCACCGTGATATGAGAGAGAGAGACACGCAAACTCCATATACAGCAGGCGTTAGGGTCTGGATGGAACCCACGATCTCCTCCATACCAGGCGAAGTAGTTAACATCTCCTAGCCACCGTGGTGCCCCACGAATCGAACTGGCGACCACTGCATTCAGCTCACCCTGGCAGAATTCCCCTATGAGAGTAGAGCTGTGGGTACAGCACACCCCTCGGGAGCAATGCCAGCGGTGATGATGATGATTATAAATATTATCTACACTTTTTTTTGCCAAGCAAGGCCTCAAGACTCGTTTTTCAGGAGGGTCCTGTCAGGTTTTTTGCAGTTGGGGGACGATGTTATTTGCACCCTTTCAGATGCCCTTCCGCGGCCGTCTGGAACACGCTCCCCATTCCAATATTAGGTAGCCGCTGGCGCTGTGCACTTTTAAATCCACGTTGAAAACTCTTTCTTTAGAACTGCTTATTGTGCTTCCGCCGCACCTCTGATTAGCACGGTTGGATACGTACGTTGTGAAAGAAGTTCAACGTACATACAAACAATCCAAATTGAGTTATTCGCAGGTTATTTTGTCCAGCATTGGGATGCTGGGCCAATACTAATTAAACGTGCGCGCAAGTGTGTGTGTGTGTTGTAGTTATAGGAGGAAACCGGAGAACCCGGAGGAAACCCATGCAGAACGTGGAGAGAACTTACTAACTCCATGCAGGGTTGGCACCAACATGAGCAATTGAAGCCAGGCCCTTCTTGCCGTGAGGCAAGAGTCTTGCCACCCTGCCACCCCAGAGTGCGAGCTGCTATCACGAATTGCCCATTGCCTTCCATCAGTGCAACGCAAGCGTGTGTGGTGGGTGTGGGTGGTGAGTGTGTGGGGGGGGGGGATGGCGAGTGTGGGGGGGGGGCAGGGTACAATGGAGCAGTCGAGAAACCGTACAAGCTAAGACACTGGTGTAAGCGTGCGATCGACTTGAAATACCGGCACGTGAGGAACTAAGAAATAAAAGGCCGTTGCTCGTGGTTTATTTTCTTAAAGAAGAAATGCATCGAGCCGCGCGCGTTTCTTTTCCCTTGTAGAAATCTGCGTACGGCAGCAGTTCGCATTGTGGACTCGCGAAGGCGCATTCCCGCGGCGTTACTCCTAAACTCCTCCATCCTGCGTGGGCTCTCCCGATCTTTCAGGGGGCGCGACCGAAAGAAAATTTGAAAAAAATCTCGACTCGTATTCGGTAAAACAAAAAACGCATTTTTCATTTCTCTTCTGTGTGAATCGCCGTCGAGTTCATTCCGCTCGCGTTATGGATTCGAGGACATGAGCCAAGCTATGGATGTCATATTGACTTTACTAACGAAAAAAAGTAAGCGGGCTCGGGGTCCGGGGGTACGTCAAGGAGAAGGGATGATGGCAGGGGCGGGGGCGGGGGGGGGGTGTGGGTTTCGCAACTACCGACGGGAGTAGCAGCCAAACGCGCCCCAGAGGAACGCTCGCTGCGGAGGACTCGCGCGGATCGTCGCGTGGCGACACACGGCGAGGGGGGCCTTTCATCCAGCAGCGGAACGCGATCATGGCCCCTATGATGACGATGACGACGACGACGGGCGACGTCTTCCCGGTCCTTGAATTTTTCGCTGATCTTGCCCGCGTGAGATCGGCGCGCTGTTCACCGCGGCGACACCGTGCGACGGGTCGCATGGCAGGCGCCTCCGTGCGTGCGTGCGTGCGTGCGACTCGTGGTCGTGGGGGGGGGGGGTCCCCTTGGAAGCGTTCATGGCTGAGATGCCCTCAGCTCCCCCAACCCGTTTCCCCGCGTTGCCGATCATTCGCGCTCGCTTAACAAATCAACTTGGTCAGTTGGAAGTTTGAACGCGGGTTGGGGTGGTGGGGGGGGGGTTGAGCACAACCCCGGGACTAGGCACCACCGCATAGGAGACACGGGGCGACAAACAGCGCTGGGGACTACTCCGGAGATGGGTGACGCGGTCGAGCCGTGGCGAAGGGAAGGCGTTCTTCCAGCGGTGGATCGAGAATGATGGTCATACCGCCGCTACCGCCGCCGCTGCTGCTGCTGCAACCGAGCTATGGCGATGATGGCGGTGGAACCTTCAATTCTGAAGTATCGGGGGACACACACGCGGACGTCGCCGAGGATTTAAGCCCCCCCGGCAGCTTGGATTTCCACACCGAGCGAACGGATATCGCTGCGCTGCTGTAGTTTGTATGTTTATTTTTCTAATCGAAGCCACGGTACGTGGCGTGTGTAGTGGTGATTGGGAACGGTAGGGGGGTATCTGCGCGCGGGTGCGTGCGTGTGTGTGTGTGCGTGGCGCAATCCGGTGTCATCAATTGCATCTGTGATGTGTACAATAAACGTGGGGGAAAAAAAAAACATCTGCTTAGAAAGTATCGTGATTGTTCTCATTACCATTCACGCGCGTGTATTTGTTGGCAATTCTGGTGGACAATTTCAATACCCGCCCAATTATATTGTTATTTTTAGTCTTTTTCCCACAGTTGTTGATGTCATTTCATGACAATTTGGAACTGGCAGGGAATTGCAACCCCCCTCAACCCCCCCCCTCCCCCACAATTTTAGAGAACTGCCCACGGAAGAGGATATTGCAGAACTACCTCTGAGACTTCATAAAAAGGCCCATGATCAATCAACACTTCCCCACCCAGTCTGTGACGAGAGTAATGCTCATCGCAGAACAGTCGAACCCGATATATTTGATTCTGAGAGCTGTAGAACCACATTTTACATACAGCATTTTATTATTCATGATAAAGGTTTTTGGGTTAGATCGCGTTATTTATAAATGTGTCGTAACCCTCCACCACCCGACACGGTCAATCGGCAAAAAAAGTGTCACGTTGACAAAAGACGTGTTAAACTGAGCATTTTATTAATAGTCAATGCGTTCCAGGCCGAGACCATCAACTCGTGACAATCTGATTAACTCGATCACAGGCGGCTGAAACCTGGGGTCGAACCCAGCTGTTTGTCAACGGTGCTGGCTCAGGGTCTCGGACCTCCTCTTGAGCCATGGAGCCACCGAGCCAGCCCTAGGCATTTCAGTTCTCGCGAGCGGTACACGCGCGGCGGCTTGCATGGCCCTATGCGACGGTCTTAACGGAGAGGAGGTCACTTCAGGGTGTGCGTTTGAGATGCGGTGGCACGGGGAGGGGGGGGGAAGGCGTGGAAAGAGTTTGCGGCTGGTGCGACGCGAATGCCAGCGAGAGAGGTGTGGCTCGCAAGGCCCCGTGTCTCCTCGATTAGCACGGTTGGCTACGTAACGGCGTGAAAGGAGTTCAACAACGTACGCACAACCACGTTGTCTCTGGACGATTCGCATGGCACGGGGAAATTAAAACAAATCGGGACTTCAGTCTTGACCTTTTGAACCAGGGCGCACAAAAGAAGTTCAAGAAGAAGAGGGTTCCAGACAGCGGGAGCAGAGGCCGAGAAGGAGCGACCCCCCTCCTGTTGAACGAAGGTTGACTGTGGGCGGCTTTGTCGGTAGGACGCCTCTGTTCATGTCCACCCCCCCTCTCCACCTCGTGGTCACCACCTGGGTAGGGCAGCAGTGGAGCTCAGTTTTCCCTCCATTCGGAGGCCCCCCTATCGCGAATGTAAGAGGAAGTTAACGTACAATACAACCCCATACCTGTCCGACCCGCTTATCAGTGCCCTAACTTCTTACAGGCCAATTCGGATCTTAGTGGTCACCCCGCGGTGCCCTTATAAATCTCAACGTTCATCCTGGTGTAGTAACTACATTATCAGTGGTGTAGTGACTACATTATCAGTGGTGTAGTAAACTACATCAGTGGTGTAGTAACTACATTATCAGTGGTGTAGTAACTACATTATCAGTGGTGTAGTAACTACATTATCAGTGGTGTAGTGACTACATTATCAGTGGAGTAGTAGTTACATTATCAGTGGTGTAGTAACTTACATTATCAGTGGAGTAGTAACTACATTATCAGTGTGGTTGTAACTACATTATCAGTGGAGTAGTAACTTACATTATCAGTGGAGTAGTAACTACATTATCAGTGGCGTGGTGACTACATTATCAGTTGTGTAGTGACTACATTATCAGTTGTGTAGTAACTACATTATCAGTGGTGTAGTGACTACATTATCAGTGGTGTAGTGACTACATTATCAGTGGTGTAGTAACCACATTATCAGTGGCGTAGTAACTACATTATC